GGAATGAAAATGTTTTGATGCCAGCTGCCCCCAAGCACACCCCACAGGCAACACAACAAAAGCACGTGGAGAATGTGGTTGTCTGTCATTAAAATGCATTCAAAAGCTCCTAAACCCCTAGCATTCAGTGAATGTTTGACTTAATTTTTTTTTCCCCCCACACTGACTGTTACTTAGCAGGCAGCTTAGCAGAAAGTTATTTTAAACCACAGTTTCAACCAAACTGTGAATTAACTTTTTCTAACTTGAACATCTCGTAATAATCAGGACTAAATGATCTGAGCATGTAAAACTGCATGGGATGAATTTTGCCTTCAGTTTCAGCTGGTGTGTATCTCTTGCTGCTCCATGTTTATTTAGCAAAGCCTTAAGGTCAGTGAGATAAAAATATGATGTTTCGAGGAATCTCTCTGGTGTGCTTACAGGGATGATGACAGGTTTTCCAGGTTACTTGCTGTCTGTGTTTTTCTGGAAACTGAGTGACAGAAAGAGCGAGCTTGCCTTGAGCTCATTGTTGATAAAAGACAAAAATAAAGGGAAAAGCTTTTAGTGCGGGCTTTTTCCTAAGGAGTGCTGTGTCTCAGTCTCCACCAGCTGGTACTGTGCCCGCATCAGCCATTCCAGCCACCTTCCTGAGTGCCGTTATTTATCGAACTTTTTGCTCATACCCTTGTCCTGGCTCGGATTTCTGTGAAGCACATGGCTCCCATGTTCCTCAGTAAGTAACATGCCACCCCTAAATAATCAGGGGGATCAGCACCTCCAATCCTCCCTGATTTTTCCTTCTCCTAGTTGTCCCACCCCTGTTTGTATGGGGAGAAACTGAGGCAGAGATAATGCCACAACTTGATCCCACATGATGCTGAGTATTTCTAACCTCAGCTCCACCTTGTCACTAGGCTTTAAGGATAAGCACAAAATCCTGGTTACCCACTCACAGTCCTTTCATGAGTAATGGGGCTGGGAGATGGTCTGTGATCTCCTCAGGTCCAGACCTGCCTTATCCCACAGACCCACAGCTTTTTTTCCAAAGGGAAAATTGAAAAAACAAGACCTCATACCGTTACTCTGTATGTGCCCTCTGTTTCCAAAGGGCATCAAACGATCAACAAACACTTTTAAAAACTTACTAGTTTCAATGAAACTTGACACAATGAAAAGTCTGAGGAATAATTTTGCTCCTAGAGCTCAGCAAAAGTCAGCACCACTGCCATTTCATCAACTTGCCAGTTCTGCTTGGTCCCTAAGCAGAAAGAGCCTTTAAATTTGGGCTGAGCAACATCTGTGATAGCGGTCTGGCAATTTCCATCGACATGAGAGGCAAAAGTTACAGCACATTAAAGCCACTAACAAAGTTCCAGCGAAGCAGTGGTATCACAGCCTGTCACGGGTCTGCCTCACACGAGCAGTGGGAGACCAGCGTGGCTCTGTCCCCGGGCACGGAGGGTCTCTCAGCATGCCAAACTCAAGTTCTGCTGCAGATCCATCAGGTCTAAAGCTACCATGGATGTCCTCAGAAGACAAGGTGCTATTAACTCTTTAAACCCTAAGACAGCATCTTACTTGAGATCAGCAGCTGTGTGCCCCTCCTCCAACACAAACGTGAACGGCTTTCACGTTTGAAAGCAGTGTTGGAATTCTCCACGAGAGATCAAATCCCGGGTGAACCCAGGCCTGGGACCACGGCTCGTTTCAGGGCTGAGGGGCACAGAAGGCACAAAAGGTGCACCACTGTGCTGCAGGCTTCTGCGTGTGCTCTCCCTGCAGCGGCACAACCCTGCCGGCAGGTTCAGCCGTGTTGCCTCAGCACAGTCTCCTTCGCTGCAAAAAACTGGACAAAAGTTACTGAGCTGTGTACATTAATGTAGAAAAGCTGAAGCCCAAAAAGAAAAAAGGAAATCCACCTGGGTGAAGCAGTTAGAGGGAGGCACTCACCTGTTCGCACCAAAGCTGCTCCTCAGGTAGCCACTGCTCCAAGCAGAAGCAGGGTTGCTGCTGGGGGCTCGTGCATTTTATACCAGAGGGAAGTGGGCTTGAAGCAGGGGGAGGGGAGTCAAGAGGTGGGCCAGGAGGACGTCAGCACTACTAGTGAGCAAAATTTAAATTTTCAAAGGGAGGGGAAGAGAACTGTGGCTCTATCAGAAAGCCATTGATCAGGGCAGGGAGCAGGAGCTGAGGTGGGTGTCAGGGGATTGCAGGGCGCCTGGCAGGACACCTGGCTGAGGCCCCCCCAGCCCACCAGGAGGAGAGCGGAGGGGAAGGGGCTGCGGCCACGTCCCCAGGGATGGAGGGACACAGAGAGACTGGAGCAGCACCAGCCGCCACGCTCTCCACACAAGAGAGCCAAGCTGTCTGTGCTGTCTAGCTGAGATGCTCTATCTGAAGCCTGTGTCCGCGAGGGAAAAACACTCATGGCTGGGGACGAGATGTGGGGAGAAAGAGGAGACGGATGGTGAGAAGCTCTCAGGGCCAGCAAGCTGGAGCGGTCAGGCCACGCCCTTGCTCCTCTTGCTCTTGTCCCACCTCTGTTTTTTGCTTGGGATCTTACTTGACTACAGTTCTCGTCCCATTAAGCCCCGAACCCACGTCTGGAGTCAACTCACCCATGCGTAAGTTTTAGGCCATACTGCAATACAGCACCCAAGTAGCTGATGAAATCAGCTGTGATCCAGTGCTTAAGCCAGTGCTTAACGGTTTTGTGGTGGATAAAATTTCATCTGCATGAGGCTAGTATTTTGAGCAATATTGTATGTCTACAACAGGCATCTCTTCTTTGCGACTATTTTTAAGGCTGTCTCTTGACTAATGTGTCATCACAGTCTTGCTGTTATAGATCTCACTGCTTTAATAGCCAAGACCATGTTTACCATGAAGGTTTGTCGAGGAGCAGCAGGAACTGGCAGGTGTTCCACTCCTTCGGCACCATCCTGCGGAGAGGCTGAGATGTGAAGTGTTACTGGGCTACCCAGGGACCACAGGCTCTCTTGCAGAGATCTTTGCAGACGCAGGGCTGTGCTCTGCTTCTGGTGGCACTGACGACCTGAGGAAACAATTTTCAAAGCCATGCTTATGGACAGGGCTCTGAGGCATGACCTGATCCATAAGCTCAGACTGGACAGAAAATGCTGTGATCCCATTTGGATTAAGTGGAAGTTCAATAGCAAATCTGTCATTTAGTTTTTCTGTAAAGCTGCTTCCAGTCGAGAAAAACCTCGAAGTACAAATGACACTATTCCACTGCAACCATCTCCCAAAAGAAATGAGTTTTTTTTTTCCCTAGGGACAATTTGTGGCATACTTGTACAAGGAAGCACAATTGAAATTTTGCCTGACTCTGCCCTTACTCAGTATCCAGGCATTGGGTAGATGACCCTACCACCACCACTGAGGAGGTACAATCACCAATTGTGCAGATTAAAATAAATCTCTCATTTATGCATAATAGTTTGCTCTATGGACACGTGTATGAAGAGAAACAGTAAAGAAGCCTGAGAAATACTCGTCCATTCTCCAATTTCCACCTAGTATAACAGCTAATAGAAGTGTCTTCCTCATCCAAGTTTTCAAGAGTTTACTCAAACTACTCAGGATTACAATTGCAAAATATGAAGAGCACTTCAAGTCCATGATAGCACAAAAGGTCTTTCTACAGCTAACACAATCAATAGTGTATATACACGCTTTCTTCAGCAACCTCCTTTTAGCGTGTTTCCTTTGAACCTTGCAAATGCTCCCTACCTAAAAATCAATCTGCATCCAAGAACTAGGCGATGGCTGTGCTTCCGCTGCGCTCATTTTGTGTGCACGCGTGGAGAGGGTATCTTCTTAGTAAGTAAAACCTTCCATGGTTTTGCATCGTAGATCTTTTCCCTTACTGCTCTCCACATTGATTTTGACCAGAAAATGTGGGTATCCTTTGTGATCTCTAGTGGGAAATGGCTGGAGTGAGGGCTTATTCTCTCCAGGATATGTAGGATCCTATCTTGTTTTGCTATTTTGCTAAGTGATCCTATCATCTTAAAACAGAAGTAAAATCCATTTTCATCCCATTTCATAAAATCGTAGAATGGTTTGTGTTGGAAGGGACCTTAATGATCATCTAGTTCCAACTCCCTTGCCATAGGCAGAGACACCTTCCACTACATCAGGTTGCC